ACACACACACACACACACACACACACACACAGGCTCTTGTGCTGTAGGGTGATGTGACAGTAATAGTTTTGTGTTTGTGTGGGCAGAACATCGACTCCGATCTATAATTGTTTACATTACATAAAATGAAATTTCCTGCCGTTTTCATGAACTGACCGCGTACGGCCTGCAGCACTAGCATTAACGTCACTGGTAAGAGAGTCTCCCGCGGACTATTAGCAAAGAACTGCCCATTCAGAGAGGAAGAGACACCTGACCGACATGTAAACCTGCCAACCACAGTCTGGTGTTGGTTTAACACACCATTTAGAAACATCAATGGTCCCACAATAGAGCCATGAAAAACTAATTCACCAAATGGTACAGTGATCACGGCTCATGAATAGACTTAACTCACTGCACTCAAGTGCTTCAAACAAAACGCTGAAATAAATACATGGACAAAGACCAAATCACAGCCCATTACAGTAATACATCACTTGCTCAGCAATGGATGCTCTGCAGTGAATGGGTGCCGTCAGAATGAGAGGCCAAACAGCCGATAACAACATCACAGTAATCCACAAGTAATCCACACCACTCCTGTCCATCAGTTAACATCTTGAGAAGCCAAAAACTGGTGCTTAATCTGTGCAGATGTTTCTCCTGATTCAGAACAGATACATTTTCCACTGGTGCTACTATTAATTATGGACTTGTATTTAACTTAGAAATGTCTTGAATTTGTTTCTTCCAAACACACAGCTTTTGGCTTCTCCAGATGGTAACTGATGGACTGGAGTGGTGTGGATTACTTGTGGATTATTGCGATGTTTTTATCAGCTGTTTAGACTCTCATTCTGACAGCACCCATTCACTGCAGAGCATCCATCGCTGAGCAAGTGATGCAATCCTACATTTCTCCAAATCTGATTAAGAAACAAACTCATACATCTTGGACGGCCTGAGGGTGAGCATATTCTCAGCACATTTTCATTATGAACTGTTCCTTTAAAGTCCATAATTGCTTGATGTCTGCTAGCATGCAAACTAGATCCACATGTTAATATTCACTCCAGTGTTTTTATGTGCTGTAACATAATGAAGTTATTTCAGTAACTCAGTTTTCGATTATTAATATTATGTTTATTAATTTCACAAACCCTACGCTTGCCCACTATTAATTCTTTGATGGGCAATTAAAAGTTCAGCATCACCTGCTGCAGGAGTTAATTCTCTTTTAAAACTTTAATAAGTCATGCCCAGAGGGCTTCTATATTTATAAAAGAGCAAATCAACCTGATTATTAATTTTTCTTCCTATTTTTGGCCTCAGCCATTTTATAGATAAGGATAGTGATAGTCCGAAAAGAGGCTAATGGGATCAGGTGTCCATCTACACGTCTACAACTCGCTGATTAGTTTTAAACAAGCTGGAAATTTGGTGCAATCCAACCA